GCAGGACCAGCAGGGGGAGAGTTTGGAAGTGCAGGGCCCCCTGAAAGACTGTGATCCCATTCATAAATCCGAGCTCATCTAGTACTCAACACCCCTGTGCAAAAATTGGGAGCCACCAACCCCACCCACCTGCTACAAAAAGCCTCCTGTAAAACTCCCATCTGAGGAGGCTTTACCAGGCAGGGGGGGCAGAAGATCCACTGCAACTGCATCAACTCAGCACACACAGAGAGGCAAAACCAACCCCAGGCTGGCCATCACCTCATTCAAAGCTTGGATCATGGGAATGCTGTCAGGAATCACCCCCTGGAGTTGGGAAGCTGTTCTGGAGCCTCCCTGTGCTGCTTGTCCAGTTGGGATTTGCTTTTCAAGTGAGATCAATGGGCCTCTTCCATCCCTGAAGGCCGAGCTGGGCCCCAGCCAAGCTCGTAAGTCGAATTTTGACGGACCAGGGGGAATTTTTCATTCCATTCATTCCAAATCCTGACACGAGGCGGCTCCCTGCGAGCTGAGCAGCTCAGAAGCAGCCAGGAAGAGCTGATGAGACTCCACTGGCCCAAGGAGTGTCCTGCAGCACCCACAGAGGCAGGTCCCCTCTCCCTGGAGGGGGGAAAAAACAGACTCTTCCCAGCAGCTCTTTAATTCCACACCGCACAAGCAATTAAAACATTCATAACTATTTAAAATGAGGGAATCAAAATGACTTAGAGGCACGAAAAGCTCGTTTACGAAGCGTGAATATTTCATTAGCATGAGCACAAATGCAACCAGGCTTTCACACAGTATTTCCTCTGCTGGGATTAAATCCAGTTCACCACCTCAGGTGAAGCCAAACCTCTGCCAGCACAACTTCCATTTTTAAAGCTCAGCTCCCTGTTTCAACGTTTGCTGTAACTCCTTTTTCTAGGGCTCCAGCCCACGTCCCCAGCCCAGCAAACACTCACAGGACGTTCTCAGAGGAGAACCAGATCTTCAGGACAGGTTCCTGATGCCAAAGATCATAAAAAAAAAAAAAAATCATAAAAAATATTATCAGTCTTTTCAAAAGTGTCTGCAGTAAATAGGAATTCAGATCTGTTGGGGTGTCCTGTGCAGGGCCAGGTGTTGGACTCTGTGATCCTGATGGATCCCTTCCAGCTCAGCACGTCCTGTGTTTCTATGATTAATTTGAAAATGCTGGGGGTTTGTGCTATAAAATACTTGAGGAACAGGAGAAAAACCACCTTTTTAGCTGCGTTTTTATGACGTGCTGCTGGAAGAGGCCAGAAATCACCACGTGTGCAGGGAGACAAGTGCAAGGACTATCAAACCACAGCTCTTTGCACCACGTCCTCAGGCTCAGGTGGGCTGGGATGACCAGGAACCACCTGAGCAGCAACTGCAGCCCTCCCCAGGGGGTTTCATGCTGCAAGTAGTTAAAAAAAAAAAAAAAAACAGGGAAAAACAACCCAAAATTATTTTACAACCATTACAGATCACCAGGTGCTCTCACTGCCTTCCTTTCACGCATCCTTGAGTCCTTTCCTAACGGTGACACGGATCTGTTGTGTTCCCAGGAGGGCATCTGCACATCATCAGGGTGCTGATGAAAAACCAGCAACTCGCTGGAAATCAGGAGAAGATGAGTCAGGTGGCACCTGCTCACGAGGCAGACGTGGGAACACAAAGACACTGCCCCAAAACGCTCCCCTGATGCTGCAATAATAATTGTCTGCTTTCCCCCTGCCTTTCAGAGCCCTCAGCTGGGATTTAGGGATGCTGGATTTACCCACAGGTCCCATCCAATTCCATCCCCAGCACAATTTCTGCAAGAGCTGAGCAGCTCCAGCCCCTCCAACGCTGCACAAGCACCACCCTGCTCCACCTGCTGTGGAACAGTCTCAGTCCTGTCGAGTCAAAGCCACAGAAATGAGGAGTTTTAGCAATTCCAAAGCAGGATGTTGCTTACAGAGCACAGAGAAATACTTGGCTGCCACTGAGAGACCTGAGAGCTGCTGGACATGGAAAAGATTCCCTGTTTTGAGGAGCCTTTTAATTAACATGACAGCCTCTGACTGGCACTGAAATGCCAGCTCCTCCTGCAGCAGAGCACCTGCCCCCAGAGGTGAGTCTGAAGGCAAGTGCTGATGCACAAACTGCTCAAATTCGGCTGCTTGTAACAATTCTGATTTACAGGCCCTCCAGGAAACAATTGTCTGGTAAAGCTCTGGAGGTTTCTCCAAAGAAACAAAGCTACTGAGTCCACACTAACTGTTCCCATAGTCCTGCTTTCATAATTTATTTTTTTTTTAATTATTCTGATGACTAAGGATCAAAACCAGACGCTGGGACTGAGAACTACGGAATTCAAGGCCGGGGTGAGTTTTATTTACGATAAACTGTAACGTTCTGAGCGTCCAGTGAAAGAGCCAGTTCATTAAGCAGTTGTTAAGGCATGGCCATGAAAAAGCACTGACACTGCCCTATCCCTGCTGAATCACCACTCACACCTACAAATAACTCGGGCACGAGCGCAGGGGCTGGGAAATTGAGGCAGTGGAGTCCCATTGCATCCACCCCTCTGCCCAGACAGGCTCACCCAGCACCCCCAAATTCAAACGTCACACCAAGGAAAAGTGCAGCTTCACCATTCCTCCTTCTTCCCACTGGAGACACATCCCCGGGGGAAATATCCTCGTGTGCACCGAAACTGGTATGAGCTCCGTTCCACCCACAGCTGGGCTCACTTGGGAACTGAATCCAGCACAGCCCGTCTGGGGTCAGCCACTGACCCCGAACAAAAATAGCTCTGGCAGAAAGCTGGATTTATGGAAAAGGGTGGAGCCCCTCCAAGAGCAGAGGGAGCAAACCCGCCCCTGGAACCAGACGGTGAAGCAGCAGCACCACATCCATCGCTCTGCTCAGCTCGTGACCGGCACAAAGGGCACTCGTGGGCACAGCTGACACCCACCCCTGGAGCAGGGCAGGCTCTGGGCTCTGACACCATCCCAGGTGTGGCAGCAGCAAGAGTTAATTGCCCTCTGCAGAGCAGTGACACCAGAGCAGCCTGAGCGCTGCAGAACCCCAGCAGAGGGGCTGGGTGGGCAGCCCAGGGGCCACCACATCATCAGCAGCACCCGACGCTGGGCAGAGCACAGCAGCTTCCCCAAAAAGCCACACTTGGGGGGAATTTCGATAAGCTTTCCCTAATGTCCCAGTGCAGACAAGCCTTGAGCCCAGCGAGCATCAGTCTGAACTGGGGTCAGAGGAACAAGCCTGGCTTTGAGTGGGTTTGAGTTCCTGGGACCGAGGCCCTGGAGTTAAGGGGTGTATCAGACACAGCAGAGATGTCCTGACAACACCCTCAGGCACAATCAGCAACAGCACAGAGAAAAAAAAAAAATAAATCAAGTTACGCATCAGGATCCAGAACCACCGGCCTGTTCTCTTGTTCTACTCATCCTTTCATCCAAAATTAGCCAAGTCTGCCCCTGCAAGGCGCCTCTCAATTGATTAATTTGCCTCCTTAAGGCAACCAACGTCCTGTGTTGATTTTTCAGCTATCAAACAATCCACTTCCAATCCTTCACTGTAGTGGAAATGACAATGTACATCTGAGAATTACACATTAACCAAAGAACAAAACCCCAGGAACAAACTGTGACACGCAAGGTTCCTGCTAATTATAGGAAATTAGCAGGAGCCCTTTCTAATACTATTAGAATGCCACAGAGTGCCCAAACCAACAACAGATTTACACTTCTGGAGGAACTGCAAAACGAATTTAAATCTGACACTGCCTCACGTTCAAAGCTCAACACTCTTCGCTGCGTTTTTCGTGGTGTTTAAGCACCTCTCTGCCCAAACAGAAATCCCAAGTACGAAAGAAAACCAGCATGAAGTATTCTGGGTGTTCTTACACCTCACAGGATGAGAGCCCTGACCCTGCAGGACAGGGGGGTCCATCCGTGGGGCACGAAGATTCCCCACAGCACTCAGCGGGCAACCTGCAGATTTCATCACAATTGTCCTTAATTTTCCTCCTTCCTCAGTAGTTTTAAGCCTGCTGAGGGAGTTTAAACCCCCTCTCCTCCCTTGGGTACTGCCAAAGCCACTCTCAGGTGTGTCCAACAACCACACGGACCCCACAGGTCGCTGATTCCAACCATCCCCAGATTCCGAGGAGCAGGCAGTGAAGCCGGGGGGGGACACAGCCAGTAAATCACGTTTTCCTCCCCCAACTCTTCCCTCTGGCAATCCTCAAATCCTTGCACAAGCAGGGGCACGAGAGTTTATCTCGGGAACAGCTGCCATGAATGTTTTATAGCGGAAAGTGAAAGGCAGCCTTGGGGTCCCCCCGGGCCGTGCCCTGCCAGCGCTGCCCAGGATTTGGCTGCACTTCCCAGGAAAAACGTGGATCTTCCCAGCACCCATCGCATCCACAGGGGAAATAAAACCATAAAGATAAGGAAATGTTAACTCACGAGTCCAGGATGGAGCAACCTTGGACTTGGAGACTTTTATTGCTCTTTTTTGTTTGGTCGGGTTTGTGTTTTTTTTCAAAGTAACTTTACGGGGCGTCAGCACAGGTGAGAAACCTTGGAGAGGGGAGTGGGGCAGGTTGTCCGGGGAAGCTGTGGCTGCCCCATCCCTGGAGGTGTCCAAGGCCAGGCTGGGATACTGGAAGGCATCCCTGCCCACGGCAGAGCGTGGAACGGGAGGACTTTGAGGCTCCTTCCCACCCAAACTCTGGGATATAGAGGAAGATCGACAACACAGTGTTTAAAAGCAAAGTCCTCAAAGTCCCTTCGCCCCTAAACCATTCCCCGATTCCACGAGGCAGGTGGGTGTGGAGAGGGGGGCACGGGGCAAGTTTGCAGGGCGATGACAGAGCAAGGCTCGGCGCTCCCTGCGCACCCACCCGGCTCTCCCATTCCACGGAAAAATCCACGGTGCCCTCAGGAGCGGCTTCACCCCCCTGACCCTCAACCCCCCGGGATAACCCCCCGCCCCGCACTCACCGCAGCCGCAGGTTGGCCATGAACTCGGGCATGGTCACCGCGTCCATCAGCACGAAGTCGGCTTTGCCGAACTCCAGGCTCTCCTGCTCCGCCATGGCGGCCGCGGGGCACGTCCTGGGGGAGAGCGGCAAGGAGA